AAAGAGGAGGTTGAGGCTCAACAGTGTTAGGCAAAGTGTTTGCAATAGTGGGCTCAATAGTGGGAGTAGTGCCTAGATCTGAAGTTGTAGAAGGTGTTGGGATTGGTTTGGACTGCTGAGGACGGAAATGAACCTGCCTCCACCACTATCTATGATACACTCTCAACTAGGGGTGTCAACAGTATTCAAAAATCCGATTTTGAATTCAAGATTCAGCACAATTGAATCAAATTCGAATAATTCGAATATCAAATCAGTCGAATTTGGGTATCCTATTCATACTGAATAGCAAATCGGATTTGAATTTGGATATGACTTGATCCGATTCGATAAATATCCAAATTTGACTGATTATTTAATTCTTATATATAATTTTTAAATGGTTTATGTAATTTATATATTAATTAATTTATATATTTATATACTTTATATAAATAAAATATTTATTTTATATATTTATTAATTACCTAAAATAATTAATTAGTTAAATTCAAATCGAATCGAATATTCAAATATTTAATCGGATTCGAATTCAAATATTAATTTTCAATATCTGTCGAATATTGTCTTATCCGATTTGAATTCGATCCGTTTACACCCTACTCTCAACTCCATGCACTTCTGACAACCCTCTTCACGGAACTCCCCCTTAGTAACTGGAATAGGAAATGGAACTTCTGGGGCTGAAATCCCTTCCTCACTACTCTCCCCTTAAGAAGAAACCTTATGGTAATAGGGCATATCCTCAAAAAAGGTGACATCCATGTACACAAAGTGCCTCCCTGAAATAGGCTCATAACAACAATACCCCTTTTGATTTTGTGCATACCCAAGCAAAATACATTTAGCAACTTTATGATCAAATTTGGAGCAATGAGATCTAAGGATTTGAACAAAACAAGTACACCCAAAATTTTTAAGGGGAATAATGAACATGTCCTTGTCTAGATTTAGAAGGTTGAATGGTGTTTTCGTGTCTAGAACCAATGGTGTTTTGGTGGCAAGCCAATGGTTTCACCTTTTGGGTCAAATGTGCCAACTCTTTTTTTAGCCCCAAATATTCTTGTGGTAGAGGGGTGCCACCATGAAATTTATTAATTAGAAGAAAAAATCCTATGAAGGGGGACAAAAAGCTTCATCCCTTGATAAAATCTATACAACGTGATCTTCAAATCATAAATAGGGATATCAATTTTCCCCATTTCCACCTGGTACCCAACCTCCTCAACCAAATAGGGTTAGGGATGAAAATTGTCTTAGCAGGGACGGGGGCAAAGATGGGGATAGGATCTAATAGGGATCCCCAATTGAGGATAGGGTCAAGGATTGGGAGTGAAGCTCCCTACCCCGCCTCGACCCCAATTATATATATATATATATATTAAATATTATTTATATTAAACGTATCGTATTATATATATGATATTATTTTATTATTTATATTTTAAAATTTTCCTTTATTTTCCAAAAAAAATTAATCAAAATAATTTGGGGATTTGGGTACCCACGGGGTACCTATCTCAGTCAGCCATCGAGGATGGAAGATAATTACTTTTATCCCCAGAAGAGATCAAAGTCAAGAATGGGGATTTGTTTCGACATCAAAATCGAGGATGGGGAATATGGTCCCTGCCCCACTGACATTCCTAATCATAAATATACAAAAGCCATGTCTAAACTCTAAAGATCACTGAAAGAAACTAAAAATAACCATAGTTCATCTAACATGCAAAAACGGAAGACCCATCCCATCACCAAAAAGAACCATAGTTCATCTAACACGCAAAAAAGGAAGACCCATCCTATCACATTGTAGAACTAAAATAGTGGAGTAAGGTAAATTGATTGCCCCTTCATAGTCTCTATCAATGTTTTTGAACCGTCAACTCGTTTGACCCGACCAGAGGTTCGCAATATAAAGTTGCAGAGAGGAGAACTCAGATCTGAAATCCAGTCTAAGTCATGAACTTGGATCTGGGATCCGAGAAGAAGAAGAAGAAGAAGAAGAAGAAGAAGAAGACTATAGGTGTTTTAAAGAACTCAGATCTGAGATCTGAGATCCGAGAACTCAGATCTCAGATGCATCTGATGTCGCCACCTCACCGTCACCATCGCCACTATCATCGCCGATGAGCATCGAATCATCCTCCTCCTCTTCCTTCTTCTTCCCTCCTTTTCTCCTTCCTTCTTCATCTTTCTTTTTTTCTTTCTCAGCCGACAACATTTCTCCTAGCTTTCTCAACCGACATCTCTTCTTTCTTACATGAGATTTGCATATTAGGGAAAATCTCATATAAACATTTGCCCTAATATGCAAACCGTCCGAACTATTCGATCCGGATGATTGAACCGCTGACCCGGAAACTAGTAGCTAGAATGGTTCCATTTCCAGGTCGGTTTTTAAAACCTTGGTCTCTATCAACAAGAGAATCACAAGACACACATTTGATTGGGAGTCATTAAGAGAGCTACCTTCTCTACAAGCATGGTTAATTAACCAATGGATCCCTGTCAACTCTTTTTTAGTACTACCAAGTACATTCTAAAGATGCCATGATCAAGCAACCTTTTTAAGCATGATATCACTAGAGTTCACATCTCCGCCCCACAGCACATCCCCTCCATGTATTGGGAACATCTCCCGATGATAGTATAAGTCCTAGTGATGTCATCATTGGGAGATGTTTCCAATACACGGCAGGGATGTGCAGGCGTTGTGGGGCGGAGATGTGATCTCATATCACTAGCACCTTGGAATAAGACACGATAACTAATTTGTGATATCTCATTTGCTTTACCAGGCCAATTTGATCCTATCTCGTAATGCCACGGTTTCAGAATACATATTAGACTGCATACCATAGAAATGAGAGAACCCTACTATAAATTGCAACTGTCTATTCTGAATCACCCCACCCCACGACTAATTCCCAGGTTTCCCCAAAGCACCATTAACATAATAAAATAGTAAAAATTAAAAAGATGAAAACACAAAATATTATCAAAAACATAAAAGTTTTATAGAAAATATGTGGGAACATCTCTAATATATCAGTCTTTGATGCTATAATTAAATAATAAAAAAATAAAAAAAAATTGAGAATATATTATTACTATCATAATCATAGTAATCATCTAAAATTATCACATGCAAAACACATATACATTGCTAGTTATATTTAAATATGCATTGCCATATTGATGAAAAGAATGTATTGTATCCCTTAGCCCCAAAGAGATAAATAACAACTCATAACCAAATAGAAGGTTGATACATGGCATATCATACCCACTTTTCAAAGGGCTGGTATGTAGCGTGGGTGGGATACTGCCATATAATTTCACCATATCAGTTCACACTGTATTGCATCAGTCCATATCGATACCTATCAATAAGTATTAGCATATACAAACCAATACTCCTGTATTCAATTAGAAAATTAAAACAAAAAGAAAAAACAATTAATAATAAAAGTTAATATTTTAAATATTAATAAGATTTACATTGTTTTCCAAAATTTATCTTAATAATAAATAAAAGTTAAGATAAATTTTGATGTCGAGTGTATTACTAGAAATCACTTTACTGAGGTGCTGGACTTAAATGCTTATATTCTGAGGCTAAGTACTATTAATCTTGCTGAAGTGTGGGCTGCTTGGGAGGCCCCCAACCTTACTCTCAAATTTAGATATCACCCTATCATCATTGAAGGGGACTTGAAGCTAGTCATTGACTGCCTGAGGAAGCTTGTGCTACCTGTCTTGGAGATTAAAGAGCATGATTGAGGATTGTTTGGCTATACATAAGAAACATCTTCTGTACTTATAATCATTAATGGGGAGATGTTTTTAATGGGGAGATGTTTTCGATGCGCAGCTGTAATGTTCCGTGGGTAGATGTGATTAGGAGATCCAATCACTCTTTTAAAACCTGCCACATGGTTTGAGTGTGTCCGATAAAATTGGAGTTTACATCAGCACCCCACAACGTCCCACAGCACATTCCCGCCATTATCGGGAGATGTTCCTAATACACAGCGGAAATATGCTGTCGGACGTTGTGGGGCGCAGATGTGAACTCATAAAATTGAAAACTTCTTTTTGTGGCGAATAGGGGCTTATTTCAAAAAGTTCATCTCCTAATCACAAGATGCATGCTGGCCACAAGAGCCGACAGCCACACATTGCGAACAACCGTTACACATTATTGTCATCCATGGGGATATGTTTGCAATATCCAACTATAGTGCCTTGTGCACAAGATGTGGCCAGCGTACGGTGGTCAGCAGATTCGAACTCTTTCAAAAGCGACCAATGTAGGATGGGAATCATTTGGCATGGAAATGACAAAGCTACCTCTAACATTGCTTTTTGGGCTTTATATGTGAGCCCATGGCCTAGCATACCGAGTGTATATTGCACCTTCAGCAAAAAATGCATTGAACCGCTTGTGACTACTCCTTGGTGCTTGGAATTCTGGGCTTGCTTCTTATGCTCAGTCCTACCCAATGACAAGTACTCAACTTCTCATCTTGCTGCTGTGCTACTGCTAGGTTTTTCTCTCTTCGTACATTTACTTCAGTACTTCTCAAATCTCTGTTGCAGGAATTTCTTTCCTCCTTGATGCATTGCTAGCTACTCAGGATACTTCTGGTTCGATTCTCCCCATGCCAATTAAAAATTTTCCCTGTGATTGCTACTCTTGTTCTTTGTATTCTTTGTATCTTCTCTTGGTCAATTGCACCCAATTTTCGTAGATCATGATTGTTTTCCAATGAGTTGAATGAATTTGCCTTTTGGCTTTTACCAAAAACAAAAGAACAGCCTTTCTCATTATCTACCAAACCAAACATAGCCATGTGTCCCCATATGTATATACCTTAAAATCTCTCCAACTTGCTTTACCCATATTTTGAACCTTGTCTGACACCTTTTATCAAATATGGGATGTGCTCATGTGCCAAGATCACACCTTTGTGAATTTATGTTAACACCCTAAATTTCCACTTAAGTTTAGGTTAGCCCTCCTTTTCATCAGAAGGAAAATAATATCACAACATTAGTCGCCTAAGAAAGAAAAATATAATAACAAAGCCATACTTTCTATATGTGTTAGTCTCATTTAGCTATATAAATTACAATCAAATAAGATATTTTAATAACTTCATGACTCAACCTCATAAGCTTCTGCAGCAGCAATCTCAGAATCCAATTTGTTTATTAGTTGCTCACTTACGTGTTTTGCTACAGATACCATGTCAAGAATGACACTTGGGTCTAAGCCCGAACCCCCTCGTTTGGTAAGACCACATATGTGTCCATGTCTATTAACAGAAATAGAGACAGCCGAGCTCATTTGTGATTCTTCTTCTGAGGTTGCATCTACAATGTAGTGTCTACCAATCTGCAAGGACAGTGATCAAAATTTCTTATTAAACAATGCAATATCAAAAGAGATTATGAGGTATCAAACCGGTAATCCAAGGTGAAGTTACAATAACAGGGACTCCACAGTTCTAAAAAAAAACGAACAAACAAAAAACAAAGCAAGTTATGAATTTTAAGTCACCTTTGTTAAAGTTACAATAACTGGTACTCCAGTGGTGTCAAACTGTAAAAATTCCTCATCACTTATGTCAACCTCTGGTTGCTCGTCACCAGAAGGGCCCATGGCAACATGGACTTTTGGAACGCCTGTATTGCTCAAGGCAGCCTGGGCAGATAAACAGAAACAACAGAAAAAGTTAAAGGCTGGATGAAAACATCTGGGTTGACCTTTTGGAATGTATGATAATAAGATGATAAATCATTTGTAATACCACCAAACAAGGATAAATTAGAATTCAGAGATCAATGAAAATTCATTTAAGTTGTGATAAGCCAGCACTATGAAAGGTGATGTCATGCAATTTTTAATTTACCTTGATGGCAGCACCTAATGTATCCAGCAAATTCCCATCCGAACTAATGACAAGACAATCAATGTAGAGGTCCCAGCATATCTTCCCTTCGATAACCATCAAAGATGAGAGATCAATACCAGCCCCTAACAAACATTAAAATGACAACAGAATCAGCTGATTGAATCTGGCAATAAGAGATACACTTTCCACTTTGTTAAAAGATACTGTCAAAAGAAAGATACTGTTGAATTATCTTGCTTCTGCACCTGCTCCACTTTTACCCCCCAATAAACATTTCTGTAGTGCAACTGAAAGTTCTGTTGCTAACTCTTCACCTCCTCTACGCTGTGTACAACACATAAATATGATTGAATACCCAAAAAAAGCCAAAAGTACCATTAAGTGTAATAATGAATTATTTATGCCAACTCAGAAAACAATTAATAAGTTGATCAACATCAAAATGATAAGTTTGAAAGTTGGAACACCAAAAGAGAAGAAAAGACACAAAGGCCCAAAAACAATTCATAGTTCCATCTACGTGAGAAGAGTAACTGTGTCTTTTGAATAATGGACAGAAAACTTTTTATTTAAAAGTTTACATCAAATGGTTTAATGAAGCTGTCATGCAATCTTCTTGTATATTTTCTCCCAAATTATCAATAGAAACTACTTCCTTTTTGTTCTTTTAGTGAGGAAATAAAAAGGACAGAATTTTGCAATCTTCAATCAATATTCTTTACAAAAATAGAATCCCAAGCAAGTTTTGTTTGTCTAGAAACAAGCCAGAGAACAAAAGAAAGACAATTTTGTTCAACGGTTTGTTTTCCCACTCTAACACATGCAATCTTATAGAAAATTTAAAGTTGTAAAACAATAAAATTAACTTTCACACTAATATAAGAAGATTTATAAAAATATGGTTTGGATTTTGTGAATCAACACACATGCATTTCTGCACTGGTTCTGGATAAAATGTTACAAGAAAGAAATCAGAAAGATCACTCACTGTGGAGGTTTCTACTTCAGCAAAATTTGCTCTAACAAAAAGATTGTTGAAAAGTTCTTAAACAAATTACTTTTATACAACACAATTGTAATGTATGTGCAAATCCCATGTTCATACAAAAGCGAGGTACGTTTCAAAATGGGCACACAGGGAAAAGATAATTAACCAGCAGTTGGTAAAACAGATTTATGGAGTGTAGTAGTATGTAGGTGATGACCAGCACCAAGAAAAGTTTCTTGTGTCATGTAAATGAAGGATGGTGAATTGTCTATTCACTTACTAATTAATTGTGAGGTGCCTTGTTCCCTTTGGCAATTCTTCCTTGATATGATGTTTGGTTCTAGTTTCTATTGGGTTCCGCCTAATAGTGTAGCAAGCTTCTTTAATCAGTGGCCTTCTTGCAAAATGGGTTTAAGAGGTAAAATCTTTTGGAGAGCCTTAACACATGCTGTCATGTGGTATATTTGGGATGAACGTAATAAGAGAATTTTTTACAACAAATTTGCTAGGATGGAAGCCATTAGAGAAAGAATTTTTCTTCCATCTTTTCCTGGCTTCTCTCCTCTGATCAGTTCAAAGGTTTCAGCTATTCTGATCTTGAAAGGAATTTTTTTTATATTATTCACTCCCCCCATTTTGACAATCAGCCTGGACACTCCAGCACTCCAAGGCAAGATCTAGATTTCTTACTGAGGTTTGATGGCAGTTGTAGATCTTCTTCCAGCCAGCCTCCAGCGGCTGGCATTGGAGGAGTTATTTCTTACAGTGGCCCCATTGGTGCTGTAGATGCTTCAGAAGCTAAAATCAGAGCCTTGGTGATGGGTCTGAGAAGTGAGAACTGTTAGATCTCTGCAGCTGAATTCTGTTCTCATTGAGGGGGATTCCAGAAATGTCATTAATTGGACCTCCCATCCAGAAAAGGGCCCTTGGAGGTTGGGTCATTTCCTCAATGAGATTTCTGAAATAACCTCTTCTCGGCATTGCAGCATTAGATGGATTCCAAGGGAGCTGAACTCAACTGCTCAACTGCGGATCTTTTGGCTATATCTGGGGTGGATAGAAATTTTTTGTATAGTGCTAACATGTTGCCCCCTTGAATGAGGAGTTTTTTAGCTATGAAATCCTGATGGTTTTGTTTGTACATCCCCCCACCCCAGTTTTTTGCCCCTATTGAATATAATAGTTACCCTTTTTCAGAAAAAAAAAAAAGATCATCTCCCTTGTATAAAAGCATATCCTCAAACCTCAAACATGGGGGCTGCTACGGGACTGCAGTCAACATATATAGCAACTTTTCCTTTGTCAGGTTGGAGAGGAGTTGGTTTTCCAAGTTCAGCCTGAAATTAAATGAGAAACAAGAGTTAGCATGACATTTTAAAGGTAAATTTCATCCTAAGGACAGAAGAGAGACAGTTATTAGAGGAAGAATGCAACAATTAACATAATCAAGAGAATGTAGACAACATTACATATTCATAAGTTCTTAAGAAATAGAATATCCTGTATTGAGAAATACCTTTACACTGGCAATAACATCTGTTGCCCCCATCCTAACCCTTGCTGAACCATTTGCCTGTTGGAAAACCCATGAAAGAATGCTAAGTCCCATATTGTAAAGGAAATCATCTGATGAAGAACTAGTTCTATAGAGAGGTAACAATCTTACAAATAACAAAGGACATAAACACCATACCTGAGGAATGACTCCAGTTTCAACAGATATTGGTCTATAGGTTAGTCTTTTTCGGCCATCAGTGCGGATGTCTTGGGCAATGCCACCTTGTATGAAATGCTTCTCTCCAATAGATAATCCCACCATTCCAGCAAAGTATGCAACCTAAATGGTAAGAGGAACAAAGCATATGAATCAGAAACAAGGAATACTAAAAAAAACAAGAAAGCAACCCTAGATGATGGTCAAACTGGTATGACCCAAGGGAAGGATAAGTAATTCAAAGTTCACATAAATGGCCTACCAAAAATGTAAACTAAATAGAACAATCTGAACCACCTACCCTTATTTCTTCATATTCTTGATATTAAGGTTTTGGTAGCCCGTGCTTTTTCGAGCCTGAAACTCTACCCTTACTTCACCCTTTCACTCTATAGTGGTACCCAAAAAATAAAAAATAAAACATTATGAGACATTACATGGATGATATTGGGCTATGAATTTGATCCTAAAGTCCCAAAATGCCCCCCCCCCCCAAAATGTCCCCACATATAACCATGAATCTGTACTCTTAATGTCTGAACCAAGTATAACCATGAATCCAAACTCGTAAGGTTTCCACAAAATTTGTGGCAGACCACTCTACAGACTGTTGTAAATAATTACCTACTTGAAAAGATAGAAAAAAGAAAGAATAAAAAGTTTATGAACCAAAGCTGAAAAGTATTTAATGGTTGGAAATATAAATTTTTTTATTTGAAATTGTAGCCTTGATTTGAGCAAAGATTACAACATAAACAAGTATATCAGAGAACCAACTAGGGTTTATCCAAGGAGATCAACCATCGGAGCTATCTTTCCTTTGCAACAATTAATAGGATAGTTTAGAGAGAGAAAAAGAGAAATCTTCTTATGGTGTTCATTGATCTAGAGAAAGCATATGACAGAGTTCCCAGAGAAATAATACAAGGGTGGTCTTGGAAAAGAGAGGGATTCCAAATAGTATATAAGGCACAAGGTGCCAAAAAAGCACAAGGGGCATTTTGTTTTTTGCGCCTGAGGCACAAAGGACACGCCTTTCTGACGCTAGGTGCAAAAAATAAGCTAAAGGTTCAAAAAAGCAAAAATATTAAAAAACAAAACTATCAAAAAAAAGTAAACATACTATTAATTAAAAATATTTTAAAATTCAAGATACATAAGCATAACATGTAAAACATATTTAAAATGAAAATGTAAAAATAAAATCAAGCAATAACATATAAAATATTTTTTTATCAAATAACATATAAAACATATTCAAACATGTAAAACTCCCAATCTCTTTATTCATTTCCCAATTGCATTATTTCAAATATCTAATGTGATGTTTAATATTATGCATTCCTAATTCTACGAACCGTCTTTGTACCACCCCTTGAGGCAAGCCCAAACAAGTCCATATCAAGGTCTTATATTCTTAATTCATATAAAAAGAATATTGTATAACTTTAATTGTCTTTTAAAAATATCTTGTATTAGGATGAATGAATGGGCAACATTAGCAAAGATTGGGATTTTGGGAGCTTTAATGAGAGAGTGAAGCAAGTGAATTGGATAATAAAGTTATAAAATCAATTTTTATAAGGATTAAGAATTTAAGACCCTAATATGGACTTGTTTAGGCTTGGTTAGGAGTTCGAGGGGGGGGAGACGACAGCCCAGCCACAAGGCATAAAAAAACAGAAAATATCAAAAAGGCACAAATTTTCAAAAGGTGCACGCTTGGGCTGAAGCGCAAGGCACGCCGGGTGTGTGCCTTTTGAAAGTGCTATGCCTAGGGGCTAGGCAAGGTACATACCTTAAAATCAATGTTTTAAAACGCGGAGGCATGACACAAGGCATTCCACTACCTAGAGGCGTAAGCCTCCCGAACACAAGGAGACGTAAGCCTCCTTAAGAGGAGGAGGGTAAAGAGGAGGATGAAGATGAAGGGGGGATCTCATTTTTTCTTTATTTTTAATAAAAATCTTTTATATTAAGAAGAATAAAGATGCATAACATTAGTTGAAAGGGGGGGGGGGGGGAACCACTTTCTTTCCGCTTATCTTTTCTTCCCTTCCCTTTCCTTTTCTCTTTTTTTCTTCTCTTTCTTTTTCTTTCCCTTCCCTTTCTTTTCCTTTCCTTTTTTTTTCTTTTTTCTTTTTTTTTGTCTTTTTATATAAGATGTGCACGAGGCATATGCCTCTAGCACGCCTCATGAAAAAAGTGCAAGAGGCGTACGCCTCAGGGGTGTCAACGCCTCTGGCATACGCCTCCCACGCCTTTTAAAACACTGCTTAAAATGTGCCCCGCCTATGCACCTAGGCGCACCTTTTAAATCACTAGAGTATATAAGGTTATATGTACGAGGTTGCAACAACCAATGTTAGAACACTAGTGGGAGAGAAAGCAGATTTACAATTATGATGGATGTTAACAGAGGTTCAGCACTTGGCCCTTATTTATTTGCACTAGTAATGGATAAATTCACTAAACAAATTAAGGAGGAGATCCCATGGACCTTGTTTTTGCTGATGACATCATTTTAATTGATGAAACCAGTGAGGGATTAAATGTAAAATTTAGCGTATGGACAAATGCCTCAAAAATAAGAGGCTTTAAAGTAATAGGAGAATCAGGGTACACTTAGGATTGGAGACCAAGAGATAACTCAATGTGACCTTTCCCAGTACCTTGGTTTGCTAATTTATAACAAGGGAGAGATTGAAGAGAATGTCTCCCATCCCATAGAATTAGAGAAAGATGGACAAAGTGGAGGGGTGCATTCAGAATTTTATGTGATAGGAAAATACCACTTAAATTAAAAGAAAAATAGTTGTAAGGTCAGCTATTTTATATGGAACAGAGTGTTAGGCAGTCAAGAAACAACTTGTCTAAAAAATGTGCAGCAGATTTGCATATGATGAGATGAACAAGTGGAAAAACCAAAAAGGATAGGATCAAAAATGATGTCATTCAAAAGAACCTAGGAGTACCTCCAATATGTGATGCAATGAGAGAATGTAGACTATGATGGTTTGGTCGCATCAACGGCACCCCCAAGAAGAGGTGATTTGTTGTAAATTGAAGGGGTTAAAAGGGTTAGGGGTAGATCAAAAAGGACATGGGTAGAAGTAGTAAGAAATGATTTAAGCACCAGTAATTTAACAATGGATATGGCATTAAACAGAACAGAATGGTGAAACATGATTCATGTAGCCGACCTCATATAGTTGGAATAAGGCTTGGATGATGATGATGATGATGTCATGACAAACTGTTGCTTTGATTTATATCTTCAAAGACACATAGGCCATATTTGGTTCAACTCTCATTCTTACCCAAGGTCAAATTCTAAGATGGAAAAGAACGAGTAAAAATGGGAAGAATGAGAAAATATTGCTACAAACCAAACACTTTTCCTAAAAAATGATATCTTTTTGTAGCAAGAATGAGAGTAAATTTTAACTTGTTTGGTTACAAATTTCATTCTCATTCATTTTCTTTATTAATCAAAATAATAACATAGGTATACATATAACACTCAATAGCAAATATATATCATGTAATCATGCAATACCCACACCAATAAATGGAGGTAGTGAACTCCATGACAGCATATATAATAAGGGAGTTAAGAAGTCTAGCAAGGGAATGGTCATTAGAATGAGTTCAGTACCAAGGACAGCCCATAGCCTAGCAGCTGCTATAGCTAAGAATAGGGAATAGGGTACATGGGCAAAAACATTTTGGGGGATGTTTTAAAAAGTAAAACGAAATGATAAAAGAGAGGCCTAGTAGCTTACCTGACCTCGATTGTATATCCTGTAAATGAGTATACTAAGGAGTAAGCACCATTTAAGCCTTGTATATGGAACTTATGGTCCCTTCTTATACTTTTTTTTTATTGGTACCTTCTTACTTATACCTGGATTTTAAATTACAACCCACAAGACCAAACCTGGATTGTAAATAAAATCTTCTCACGTAAATAAACATCACTACCTCTAGAAAAGAGATTGTTTATTTAACAGTCCTGTTGACAAAACACATTCTGAAAATAACAAATTACCGTCCATACAACATTACAACTCAACTCAACGAAGCCTTGCTCCAATTATATGAGGTACAGGTAGGCTACACTAATCCTGTTCAACCATCAGTCCAGAATTTTATATATTTTACACACCATTTGTGCAGCTATATGTGTGTAGGGGTGCTCACGGTTCGGTTAACCGAACCATGGGGTATTTTTTCAAACCGAACTGATGCAATCGGTTACCTGTTGACCATAGTTCGGTTTTTCAGCTTTTTATGCACTTACAATAAATATATATATATATATTAAAAAAAAAACTAAAACTGTCTGGATGGTGGTTGCTGTCAGTGCCGGATTTTTCATGAAGATGGTGGATTTTTCATGAAGACGGTGGTTGTTGTTTGTGCCAGCACTAGTTGGTGCCGGTGGCGGAGATGCAGAGAGGAGAGGTGAGAGAGAGAACAGAGACGGAAGTATGTTCGACAGGCTTGGTGTTGTCGTGTTGGTGGTTGGCGTTGGACCGATGCTTGTTTGCCGACGAGGTGGCAACCGGCGTTGTCGCTGGTGCTACCGTGTTGTTGGTTAACACGGGCTGTGCGGCCGTCTGGAGTGAGGATTGGGGAACAAGAGAAATGAGAGAGTGAGAGAGGCAAAAGAGAAATGAGAGAGTGAGAGAGACCAAATAGAAAAAGTAGAAAACTGTTAGAGTGGTAGACTGGCAGTCTAGGGAAAAGATAAAAGAGAAGTCTAGAGAAAAGAGAAAATGCCTGACTGGCAGGTCTAGGGAAAAGATAAAAGAGAACCAATGGGCGATGGAGAGTATTGAAGATTGTCAGACTAGCAGTCTGGCACTATCGAAAAAGGTTGAAAATTCAAAGAGAAAGGCTGAAATAGACTGCCGAACTCTTTTTATTCGAATTTCAAGAAAAAATAATAAATATAATATAATATATAATATTATATAAATATATATTGTATATATATATATATCGGTTGGTTCAGTTAACCACCGACTTTTTTAAATGATTAACCGAAACCGAACCGAAACTATCGGTTTTTTTAAGAATACCGAACCGACCAGTTCAGTTAATCGATTTTTCGGTTC